ATTACATCTAAAATGAAAATTTTGGGGTTGACAGTTGACGATAAGCTTACATTTACTGAGCACATTAAATTAACATCCAAAAAAGTGCAAAGCCTCTACCGTCAACTGTCAACCGCCGCAAAATTGTCGTGGGGTCTGAACCCCGAGATCGTCAGAACCATATACGTCTCGGTAGTGGAGCCAATCATCCTCTACGCGGCCAATGTGTGGGCGCCGGCGACACGGAAGAAGACCACTCAGAAGTTGTTAAACCGGGTGCAGCGCGGGTTTGCACAAAAAATCGTGAGGGCCTACCGGACGGTCTCTCTAAACGCTGCCCTGACACTCGCTGGGTTGCTTCCTCTGGACCTCCGGGTCCAGGAGGTGGCCCATCTTTATGAAATAAAGAAGGGTCACTCCCAGCGAGTGTTGGGGGATCGAGATTTGGAGAGGCCGACCGAATATACGAAGACCCAGCATCCCGCCCACCTGGAAGGGCTGCAGTTCGACTGCCTGACGGACGGTGATGAAGTTGCCCAGCGAGCTGCCGTCGATGTAAGAATTTACACCGACGGCAGCAAAATTGACGGCAGGGTCGGCGCGGCACTATCCATATGGGATAGTGTTGCGGAGACTAGCTGCCGGAAATTAAAGCTGGGCAACTTCTGCACTGTATATCAGGCGGAACTGTATGCCCTATATGAGGCCGTGAAATTTGTGGCTAGGAGCCCCTCTAAGAGGTTTGGTATTTACTCCGACTCGAGGTCCGCCCTCGAATCGTTAAAGAGCGTCGACTGCCTCCATCCCCTCGTAGGGGAAATTAGGGAAAGAATTGGGGAATGCAGGAAAAGGGGGAAGGAAATTAAATTATTTTGGATAAAGGCGCACGTGGGGGTGGAGGGAAACGAAAGGGCGGACATATTAGCAAAATCTGCCGCAGTCGGGGTAAAGACCGAACCTCACTACGACAAATGCCCTGTTTCATTCGTCAAGCGACAACTCCGTCTGGACTCGCTTGACGAATGGAACAGGCGCTACAAAGAGGGAATCACGGCCTCGACAACGAGGGTCTTCTTCCCTGACGCCATTAGCGCCTACCCTACACTTCGCAAGTTGGAGTTGGACCCTGTGCTGGTTCAAGTTTTAACTGGTCACGGGGGGTTCGGTGAGTACTTG